TTTAGCTACAGTCTGTATTTCACATATTAGTAAACTGCCTCCCCAGTGGTTTTGTGATCACACAATCTAGGCCAATGGGTCCCAGTTATTATTCTTAGCTGGTAGAGAGTTAACTGATTTCATGGGCAGCTGTTGAGGGTTATAAGCAGACTCATTATTCTGGAATAGAGAAGGTGATTGATAGGCAGGGCAGCTGATAAAGGAGGTCAGGAGTGGTCCTGGGTGGGAGAGATCCAGGAAAATGAAAGGAGTGGCAGGGGCTAAAGCCAGATGAGGAGAAGATCTGTGGGGGAGTGAGAGAAGCAGTGGGAGTTAAAGCCAAGTACAGAAGCAAGCCCACAAGAGAGTTAGAGGGGCAGAATGAGTTAAAGGAGGTATGGGAGTGAACCTGCAGGAGAAACAGTGCAAGATAGATGAAGCACAGGTGTGCACTTGTGAAAGGTTCATGACCCTAAGGTAAAAAAAATCAACAAAAGAACATGAAAGGGTGATCTGACCAGGACAATAGTTCAGAAATTTCTTTGTGAGTATTGCAGTTTTAATCTTGTGCCTTAGGCTCAGAAGGTGTCTCAAACTCAGAAACTGTAACATATTACTTATCAAATTAATAAACAAGATAAGCAATTTAATGTCAACGTTCAGTAAGGCTTTAATTTATTTCTGTTAAGTTTAGTTACAATTTTATGTAGAAGAATAGGAGATCACCTCTCAGTTCACGTCTCCTTCCATGTGAGAACTCCAGGATTCTTCTTTCCTATTTGTCTCATCAGCTGGAAGTTTTTGCACTCCAGATTTCAGAGGTTAAACAGTAGTTGCAGTCAGTGTGGTGCAACCATGTTACTGAGGGCTTTTCAAAGTAGCACATTGCAAGCTATGGTCATCCCTCAGCTTAAGCATGTCTACGTAGGGTGGAAATGGGTGACCACGGGACAAATAAGAGGAACCAGGGAGGTGGTAGAGCAGTCCCATGTGTGCATCTCACTCTTTAATAAGTTCTGAATACCAGTGATGGTTTGCCTGGGGAGTACATCTTGAGTCAAGAGAATATGGGGGCTCAGCCACATAATGGGCTGAGGAAAAAAGTTGAGTAAACAGTAATGATTGAGCGTTGTATTGTTTTGGGAGTAGGGCATTATTACAGCCACAGATGTGAATCCAGAATAGTTTGTTCCCTTGTTGCTGGTGGAGTCACTGCTCTGAGTGATTACAGAATATTCTGATGGGAGAGCATGAGCAGCCAGAGGTTATGATAAAATCAGCTTGAAAGATCATAGTCAAATAAATGATGCATTCTTGCAAGTGGATTTTTGGCAATGAGGAAAGAGTCTAGCCACCAAGATCTCAAAGATAGTAATCTCAGAATGACTTCCTGTGCCAAGTATTATTGAGTATTAAAATAGGAAGGTAGATCAGAATGAATGCATGTCTGGAGAAATGGTGAGAGAAGGACAGTTTTAGATTCTTGGAATAATGGGACTGGTCATGGGGATATCTGAACCTAGTGGCTGCCTAGGCTGCACTTAAGTAGAACAAGGACCTATATCCTCATTTATCATTTGCCAGTGCTTTTGAAGATGGCTTAAGTTAGCTTAGCATGGAACCAGTAGCAATAAGAAGAATAAATGCATTGCAAAGGATCGGTAGATACAGATAGCACGACAGTAAAAAATAAATTGATATAGTATTATATAGAGTAAGTGATCGTACAATGAGATTTACCTTGGGTTTGCAGCACTCAAATGTGAAGACATAGAGCACAGTAAATAATGCTGGTGACTGAATGAATTTGGTTAGTAGTCAAGAGGGGAAGTGGAAAAGGACAGCAGAGAAGCAAAAAGAGAGGAGGAGAGATGAATGGTTGTTAACATAAAAAGAAATCAAAGCATCTTCTGTTAGTATATACATGGCAAAAAAGTACTCAGTGGAGGTGTCATCTGATTGGGGACAAAAAAGGGGTGAACGCATAGAGGTCCAGGACATGGCTGAGGTACTAAATGTGTACTTTGTGTCAGTCTTTGCCAGGAAAGGAGAAACTACCAGGTTGTGATGACATTGGGGTTGTTAGGAAACCGTTTGGCCTAAAAATTTATAAAGAGGAAGTAGAGGCCATAATCTTCTAATGCTCCCTAGATGGAAATGTGGTGCCAGAGAACTGAAAAATTACAAATATTGTACCCTTATTCAAAAAAGGATGTAGTATTCTAAAATGCAGCACCTACTGACTAATCGGTTGTGGGAGAAATTTTAGGATGATAATCTGGAGCAAAATTGACTGTCATTTGGACAAGTGCAGCTTAAGTAAGGAAAGCCAACTTGGATTTGTGAAAGGTAAATCATATTTAATTAACTGGATTGAGTTTTTGGTAAGGTATCCGAGGTGGTTGATGAGCATAATACAGTTGATGTGGTGCATAAGAACTGGAAGAAGGTATTTGATAAAATGACATATGATAGACTTGTTAGCAAAGTTGAAGCCATGGAATAAAAGGGATACAGGCAACTGGATATGAAACTGGCTGAGTGACAGGAATCAAAGAGCATTTTGAACAAAATAAAACAGGAAATTCTGGAAAAATACAGCATCTGTGGTGGAAGAAACAGTGTTAATATTTCAAGTCCAATACGATTCTGTTTTGGAATTGTTCTTGGGACTGGAGGAAGGCAAACAGTTAGGAACCCCAGGGGTCAGACTACAGATTTTCTTGATCTTTATTAAAATGAAGGAGGAGCAAGATTTTAGGGGTGTAGGGCACCATGTCAAAATTTGCAAGTGACTCAAAACTTGGAAGTATTGTGAACCATGAGGAGTATTGTAAAGGTGCTCAAGGGACCATGGGCAGTTTGATGGAACAGGCAGACGTGTCAAAGATGAGATTTAGTGCTGAGGAGTTTGAAGCAATATATTTAGGTTGGAAGACTGAAAAAAGGCACTATAAAAGAAAGAGCAAAATTCTAAAGGAGATGCAAGGACAGAGATAGCTGGTGGCATTGTATGTTGAGAACATGATTAAAAGGGAATATTAGATCCTGGCTTCATAAATAGAGGCATGGTGTACAAAAGCAATGAAGTAATGGTAAATCTTTTTAACACATTACTCAGCCTCAACTGGAGAACCATGTACAGTCCTGGGCAACTCATGTTAAGAAAGAGATGAACGCATTTAAGGTAGTGCAGAAAAGTTTAACAAGGATTTTCCAGAGATAAAGGATTCCACTTGCATAAATAGATTGAATTTGAGTTGTGCTTCTTTTGAGCTGAGAAGGTTGAAAAGAAATTGCACATGTTCAAATTTTTGAGAAACCTTTGTAGGTTAAAGAGTGAGAAATCATTCTAAATGGTAGAAGAATTGAAAACTAGAAGGCACTGGTTTAAGGCAATTGATGAAAGAAGCAAAGGCCACATGAGGAAAAACTTTTTTTGCACTGAGTGGTGAGCATTTGGAACGTACCTCCTGAGAGTGGAAATGAGGCAGAAACAATAAATGCTTTAAAAGGAAATTGGTTAAACATCTGGAGAGAAAAAGAAAAATTTCAAGGTTACTCTTCCTCAAGTTCAATAGCTTTCTTGCTCTGAGAGAGGATATTCCCACTGACCTTATATTGGTTTCCCTGCTATTATAGAGTAGGTATCATTTTATATGTATCCCCATTTATTTTTACTTTCTTAGGTTTTTGTGTATTACTTCTATCAAGATCCTGATAGCGCCTACAGAAACATGGTGGGTACAGTTAACTACAGCAGTAGCTATTTGTAATTGTAAGGACAAGTTCACAGAGTGTTTCACAGACATGTCAGCAAGAATGAATGCTAAGCCAAGGTGAAGATTAGGAGAGGTGACCAAATGCCTTGTTCATAGAGGTGAATTTTAAAGAATAAATGGAGGCAAGATGCTGGAAAGGCAGAGGGATTTTGAAAGAAAGCTCAGGAGCCTGAGCTGTCTTGTGGTGATTCTCAAATATTGGGCTGTTTTAATAAAGGACTGCAAGTCCCTGTTGAGCTTAATGTTGTCTAAGCAAACTCTGGTAATGAATGCCTATTCTGGTTGTCTGGCATGCATGCTGAAGTATACGATGCTTGAATTTATGAGAGAGTTGCAGTGGACAGAACCAAATATAATACTCAGGATAGAAGAAAGTAAAGGTTTTACAGGAAATGAAAACAGCAACTGTGTGTGAAGGAACGATTGACAATGATCAATAGCTGAGGTAGTGAATTAAATGTCAAGTATTGGGCATTTAAAACAATGCAGTTGGGAAAGAAATACTTAGAGAACGATTTCTTGCCAGTGTGGATGCAGATAGAAGTGAGACTGAAAAGGAATAGGACAATGTTGACAGTTAGGCATTTTAGGAAATGACTGGATATGGCAGAGCCAATGATCGAAGCCGTGAGAAGACAGAAAATCAAAGTAATGGTAACAGAGTGGCTGTGAATATGATTCAGTGAATTCAAGTTGGGGGAAGTGGTTTTGGGATGATTGGAGAACAGGGAGTTTGGAGGAGGGAAATTAAAGGGAACAAAAACAAATTGCTGGAAAAGCTCAGCAGGTCTGGCAGCATCTGTGGAGAGAAATCAGAGTTAATGTTTTGGGTTAAGTGACCATTCCTCAGAGGCTAACAGGAGTTGAGCTAGACATTGACATGAGGTGGGGAGAGCTCAGTTTAGAGGCTGACAGTCAATACCTAGGAGAGGAAAGCAGGATGTTTACCAATAATGATTTTAAAGGAGAGACAACTGGGACAAGAAAGAGTGAGGAAAAGAAGACCATGATGCTGGAGAAGTTACTGGAAAGTCAAAGCATGACTTTGTGACTCAGACATTCTTCCTTTGCATTGGTTACACTGGCACAGATGATGCAGGGATTGGTAAGGAACTAGACAGGGATTGGTAAGGAATTGACATCCAAAAGCCAGATCTTAATCAAAGTCAGACTGTCAGTAGGTACCTCTCGCTCTTGTTAAAAATGATCCTTAGTATCTTGCTATGGTATTTCATTTAGGTGAACTCCCCTGCCCTAGCTAAAGGCTCCAATCTGGAACATTACAAGAAAGCCTTTGCCAGGCAACGTGCCAAAGACCTTTCCGAACATGCTGATATCATTCTTGCCAAGGACAAACAGATTGAAGAACTGAGGCAAGAATGTCGTGATCTTCATGCAAAACTGGGACCATCAAAGGTAAAAAAAAACTTCTTTCAGTTTTAGAATATCATCATTGACAAGAGAATTTTTGCTGTTCAACAGATTACTTAGATTACCTATAAGAATATAAGAAATAGGAGGAGATTATGGCTGATCTTGTAACTCACCATCATTCTTCTATACTGCCTTCATATTCATAATTGAGTTTAAAAATGTCTTTCTTAAATACTCCACAAGTTCAAATGTGTTAGTTATGTTCTGACACTAAAATTGGTCACATGCAGATCTACTCACACACGTGTAGAATTTGCATTTGTAATTACTTGTATTACTCAGAGCTGCATGGAAGTACAATGAACATAATGAGACAACCATCAAGAGTAAGTCCTGTAAATCCCCAAACCATTAACTCATCATGATAAAGAGCTGAATGATAAGAAGTACAGAGTATATAAAACTTCAAGCATAGTTGGACCTTCCATTCCTATCACTAACAGCTTTGGGAAGAATGCTCCACCACCATATGGATAGAGGAAAGTCACATAAAGGTATCAAGGAATTACAGAAATGGAAAACTAAAATTCACCATTTGTCAGTTCTAAACACTGTTGAATTTATTCATGAAATTCCTCAGTCTGATTTACAGTGTCCTCTGCTTTCTGAAGTTTGGGTGTTGCAGCATGACTATTTTGTGAGTCACTGCTGAGTGTGTGGAGCTTGCCCTCTGCTGGGCATACTTGCTGTTAAAGGAGAGCAATCAAACTGCTCAAGCAGTATTCCACAGAAACAGATCATTCAGTGCGACAGGTTTGTGCCAGTATTGGTGCTTCACACAAGCAGCCTCCTCTCATCCTACTTCATCTCATGTGTTCCTATTCCAATTCCCTTTAAATGCACTAATTGCTCCATGTAGCAGTAAAAGCTCCGTTGCAGCAACTCTCTGAAAACCTAAGTTTCTCCTGAATTTCTCATTAGGCTTATTAATGACTATCTTATGTTTATGGAACCTAGTTAAGAACAGACATATAGTCACCTGTCTCATCTACTTTACAATACAGTCACCTCAATAACATTGTGATGGAGGCATTGATCATGATGCTGGCAGACTGCAAAATGATGGACATTTATGGAAACAGAGAGTGTAGTGAACTATTTTCAGAAAGATTTAAAAGTTGTTGGGCAGGCAAATGAAATGTGCAATCAGAACAGAAAATACTAGAAATACTCAGCAAGTTATACAAAATTCCCAGTCAGAGGAAATAAATGTTTCCTTGAATGAATTTTCTCGGTTTCAGTGGAAATAGTCACAGTATTTTCTCATAACTACAGAATCGTATTCCTGATATGGATCCTCGTGGGGTAACTGCAAAGAAAATAACCAAATTTAGTCAATGACCCTCAAGATGAAAAAAATTATCAGCTAGACTCCACTTTTTGTAGTCTACATTTTAACAGGAGTCCTCAGAAAAAATAGCAAATGACACATGAATAAACTGACAAATATACTTCAATTGGAAAGTTAAATTTTGCTTTAGGTGTTTGATATACTGAGAAGAGCAAAGAACAATCCAGCATCAGGACAGGCCCTTCAGCCCACCAAGCCTGTGCCAATTCCTAATCCCTATTTAGACCCACTACTTATTGCCCATACGTGATTTCTGTCCTTTGTTTGTCTCCATTTCATGTGTCTGTCAATATACACCTTAAACATTGCTAACGTGCCTGCTTCTACCACCAGCACTGGCAATGCATTTCAGGCATTCACCATGCTCTGTGTGAAAAATTTTCCCGCTATGTCTCCCCTAAACTTTCCCCCTCTCACCTTGAACCTGTGCCCTCTTGGAATTGACCTTTCCACCCTGGGATAAAGCCTCTGACCATCTGCCCTTTCTATGCCTCTCATAATTTTGTAGACCTCTATCAGGTCACCCCTCAGCTTCCATCTTTCCAATGAAAACAATGTGAGTTTATCCAACCTCTCATAACGAAAACCCTCCAGATCAGGCAACATGCTGGTAAACCATCTCTGCACCTTCTCCAGAGCATCCACAACCTTCTGGTAGTGTGGTGATCAGAACTGCATGCAATATTCCAAATATGACCTAACTAAAGTTTTATATGATTATAACATAATTTGCCAACTTCCATGTTCAGTGCCCCAGCCAATGAAGGTAGCCATGCTGTATGCCTTCTTGACCACCTTATCCATCTATGTTGTCACTTTTAGTGATCTGTATGCATGCCCAGATCCCTCTGTATGTCAATGCTCCAAAGGGTTCTGCCTTTTATTATATAATTCGCACCTGAATTTGATCTTCCAAAATGCTTTACCTTGCGTTTGGCTGGATTAAAATCTGCCATTTGCCTGTTCAACCTATTTATATCCCGCTATATCTTTTGACAATCCTCCACATTATCTGCAACCCTGGCAATTTTGGTGTCATTTGCAAACTTGCTAATCAGACCACCTCCGTTTTCCTCCAGATAATTTAGATACTACAAACAACAAAGGTCCCAGCACTGATCCCTGCAGAACACTACTAGTTACTGACATCTATTCCGAAAATCGCCCTTCCACTGCTACTCTCTGTCTTTTGTAACCAAGATGTTGAAGTGCTGTTGTTGGACTGGGTTTGACAAAGTCAAACGTCACACAACACCAGGTTATAGTCCAACAGGTTTATTTGAAATCAGGAGCTTTCGGAGTGGTGCTCCTTCATCAGGTGAAGTGTCAGGTCAGACCTCACCTGATGAAGGAGCAGCGCTCCGAAAGCTTCTGATTTCAAATAAACCTGTTGGACTATAACCTGGTGTTGTGTGACTTCTATGACTAAGCCAGTTTTGTTACCATCTAGTCAGCTCACCCAGATCCCATGAGACTTTAC